ATTGCGGGGTGAGGATAGAGAGGCAGGGGGGATGAGAAGGCAGAGCTGCCGAATACTGGGATTTTGTCTGTCCCAGCAGGTTCAAAAGGTTTCTTTTTAATTAAAAGGATTTTTGTCAAGAGACCTGGACCAGGCTTGGCTATAGCTGTCATCTTCTGTATCTGAACTTTGTTAATCACGCTTGTTTCCTCTGCCCCACAACAGCAAATGGTTTCTAAAGCCACATGTTCTGGGACATCCCATAGCCTCAGCGGTGGGGGTAAATGGTGGAGAAGATGAATGTTGTTAATGTGATTTACTGAAGAGACCGTCCAGCAACTGGCAAAGCCCACAGTTCTCTAGCAAAAATACGAGATGTTGGTAGTAATTCTGCTCTCTTTTCTGCCCAGGGCACTGCAACAAAACTTGGGCCTCTGCCTCGGATCCTGAGGGATGTCAACTCAGCACTCAGTAACCCGGCCTGTGTGCAGGTCTCGGTCACGGCCGATCACACTGCATCCACGCCTAATGCTGGCAACAGCATCTCTGCGGGGCTACAGAAAATGGTGATAGACAATGACTTATCTGGGTAAGAGCATAAAAGGTGGCCTGGCCACAGACCAGGGAAATACTGAATATTCATCTACTGCCAACACCTGAGCACCTGCAGGGACAGGCAGGACAAGGTGTAGTGTGGAGTTGCCTGATCCATTGACTAGGCTTTCTGATCGCAGAACTGATACTGGATGTAGGTCAGCTCTGAATCTAGACAAAGCAGTGGGCAGTAGCGCAAGCACACAGCTCCATCCTGGGTCCCTTGTCAGCCAAAACTGGGGATGTGGTCTGGGAAATCACAAACTTGGCGGTTCTGGTCTCAGATGGTGAGATGTAGCTGCAGAAGCAAAATGTTCATCCTTTGAGGAGTTGAGGGCTTGTTTGCCTCAAAGTGATGGGTATCGCCATTAAATTCATTAGGTCTCTGAGCATGCAAGATTTATAGGATTGGCCTTATCCATCTTCGTAAGACATAGGGTGTATGCTGAATTCACTGAGATCCAAATCTGGACATTTCTCTAAGAGTTGCCAAGCTGTAGAGCCTTAACAATCAATTCCAGTCTACTCTGTCCAGTTTTTATAATACTGGGTGTTTTTAATGATGAGCAGTGATTCACAGACACAGTCACCTAACATACTGTTTGGCCTAATTATGTAAGGAGTTTCATTCATGGGGAAGATGACTCTGTTGCGGACCTATAATGTTTCTGTTTGTGGAAAATGAAATGGAGCCCACACAAATGGAAAGACTCTGCTGGTAAAATAGTTTGTAAGTGGAAACTACATAATATTTAACAGGTTAATTAGGAATGAAAGGCAGCAATGGTGCTGGACTTGCTCTAATCAGAGCTGTCATCTCTAATGCTTCCCAGCGTGAGGTACAATTACTTAAATCTAACGCTATGGAGGATCTCTGACAACATGCTTTCACCCAAATACTTGCTTACAATGCACCGTCTTTGATCAGCGGTATATTCACATTAAGCTACTGCAGAGCGCTTTCTTCCTATCCCCAAGAAATCAATATTGCATGAATGTATGTTACAGCAGGAGGAGTGGGTGGATAACCTTCAGTTGCTAGGCTGTTAGAGCTCTCTGTCTGACCCTTGGAGGCCTAGTGTGGATCAGGCCCCCATGGTGCTCCGTGCTGTACAAATACCGGCCCGCGTGCCCTCAGGAGCTTACTGCCCAGGTACAGAGCAGCGGAAACGAGAGTGGCATGGATACAGCCAGTTGGAAGCAGAAAGGGTGACACGTGCCGTCAGCGTGATAAGCAGATCCAGCCGGGGCGGCAGAGCCCCCGAGAGCGTGTCTGTGAATGCCTCCTGCACGGCGCAGCGCTCTCGCCACGCATCCGCACGCCCCTCGCTCACCTGCCTACACCTGCCTGCTCCTGCAGGGCTGGCCCAGGGCTCCTCTGCACCCCTCCGTCCTCTCCACTCCCCTTGCACTGTCCCTCCCCACAGGCAGACCTGGCTGGGCCAGCCCTGCCGCAGGGGCTGGGTTATGTCCCCGTCCCGCACAGCAGTGCCATGCTGATTTCTTCTGAGTGATTTCGTTTTCCTGCTCCAGTGCAGCATTCACAACTCTTCTTTTTTGTTTTGTTTTCCTCTCCTCTTCCTTACGCACTGAATTCCCCGCAGTCTGATAGATTTCACACGGTTACCATCTCCAACCCCTGAAAACAAGGACTTGTTTTTTGTCACAAGGTCTGCTGGGGCCCAGCCCTCGCCTGCCCGAAGCTCCAGTTACTCAGAGGCCAATGAGCCCGACGTGCAGATGTCTAATGGCAGCAAGAGTTTGTCCATGGTGGACTTGCAGGACAATCGGCTCTTGGACAGTGGGGCCAACGCGCCTGGCACGGCTGACTCCCTCAATGACAGTCAGTCGTCCCTC